ATTTGGTTAAAAGAGTGAAGAATTCTACGTATATAGCCAGCTGTGTGTAGTCAAACAGCCCACACCCATACAAATCCAGTGATAAAAGTATCCATTGCTTTTACGCAGATTGTTTCGTTTGTTTGTTTGTTTGCTTTTTGAGTAGATGTTGTGAACAGGAAACGAGCAAAAGCCGAGTTAATGCTAAGGGACAAAAGCATACTGCAAATTGTGAAAAACAAGTGTTTACAAGTGTAAAAACAACGCAATAATGCCACCTAGAGGAATTTCAACGCAGGAAATATAAACGGTAAATGGCCTGTATTTGTACAGCACTTAACTTAGTCCCTAAGGACCCCAAAGTGCTTTACACATTCAGTCACACACACATTCACACACTGGTGATGGCAGCTACGTTGCAGCCACAGCTGCTCTGTGGCGCACTGACAGAGGCGATTTTCAAACAAACCGACTAGAAGATGAAAATACACAGAAGCAGTCTGGTTTCAGTATTAGAGGAAAATCACATTGTTAGGTTCATTTTGATCAATGTTGTCATTGTTGCACTTATACTTGTAAACCTTGGCTTAAACTGCATGTTGAGATATTCTTCTGTTCCTCCCCTACACATCGAAGCAATTGGCTATAGTGTTAAACTGCAGGCACACTCCAATCTAAAGGTTCTGGTTGTCTTCTCTGTAAAGGATGATCATCTGTGCTTGTATGTGGTCAGCCATTAAAGTTAAGCCATATAAAGGGTGAGAGGAGATGACCCTTTGTGATCAGCAGGATGTCACACACACACACATGCTCGCACATGCATAAACATGCACACACACATACACATGCACACAGTGCTTTAACTGTTATGACACACCATTTATGGTTTTACAATGGGGGGTTGTTTCATTTCAACCAGCGGGCCTGCAAGCGCAGACCCAACATTTATGTACAAAAGAAGAAGAAAAAACAAAAAATAAAACAATACCCTAAAATTTTACACCCAAGTTGCTGTGCAGCAAAAGCAGTGTGGAAGAGGACTCCACCAGAGAGCATACGGCCACATTTTTAAATATTTCTGTCATATATTCGTGGGGGGTCTCATGTAATATTGGTACCAAACCATTATCACACAGCTACAACTAATGGGTTTCAGCCCACACATACTAGTAGCATTTGAACGTCTGGTGTCCTGGTGCAGCCACAACAACCTGGTGCTGAATGCCCAGAAGACAGTGGAGATTATTG